ATTTTTGGAGGAGTTTCCAGGACTCGTTTGGCAGCAGACTATCTTATAGCAGTGTATTCCATCCATAGACGGATGGTCAGACGGAGAGGGTGAACCAGGTGTTAGAGGACATGTTACGGGCTGGTGTCATTGACTTTCAGGGCAGCTGGGAGGAGCATATTCCACTGATAGAGTTCGCTTATAACAATAGTTATCAAGCGACGATCGGTATGGCTCCGTATAAGGCGTTGTACGGCAGACCCTGTAGATCACCGATATGTTGGGCAGAGCCGGACGATAGCTTGATGCTTGGACCGAAGCTTAGCAGACTACTGAGAAGGTAGCATTGATCAGGGAGCGGATTCTAACCGCTCAGAGTCGACAAAAGAGCTATGCAGATAAGAGGCGAAGACCCCAAGAGTTTTAGATTGGAGATTTGGTTATGATGAAGGTATCGCCTATGAAAGGCGTACAGCGATTCGGGAGGCGAGGGAAGCTTGCACCGAGATATATTGGACCATTCCGGATTTTGGAGCGAATTAGACCTGTGTCATACAGACTAGATCTTCCAGCTTCTATGTCTAGTATACACAATGTATTCCATATTTCTATGCTCAGGAAGCACTTGCATGATGAGGAGCAGCAGCGAGTGTTGGATGCACCGGAGATTGAGCTTCGGGATGATTTGATTACTATTGAGATCCCAGTGTCAATACTTGCTAGAGAAGACAAGAGACTCAGGAACAAGGTGATTCCATTGGTGAAAGTTCAATGGAACCGAAGTGGAGTTGAGGAAGCTTCTTGGGAGCGCGAAGAAGACATGCGACACGACTACCCACAATTGTTTGAGCAGGTAAGTTAATTAAAGTATTTATGATGTGAATTCTTACTTGTATATTTATATATGTACCTTGATACTTATATTTAACACTAGAATGAGGGTATTTTCACTTAATTCCTAATCTTTCGGAACACATGGTATATACATGGGGGGTTTCTTGTTTGGATTTTTCGCCCGACGAGTTCCATTAGATTAGGGGTTGAGTAAGAATATTACCATTTTAGATCGTTAAGTATAAATATCACTAAATGCTTATCTAGCGGTTAATATTGCGAGATGTGTATGTGTGCGGGTTAGATTAGACCCTTGTCGTGCTTTTCAAGTACCTTTATGAGTTAGATATGATTTCTGAATTTCGATGACGAAATTCTATTAAGGGGGGAAGAATGTAAGACCCTGTAGAATTTGATAATTTATATATGTGATTATTAGTGAAAAAAATTATATTTATTTATGATAAATATCTTTATGACATGGTTGTGCATAAAATCTAGCATTTTGAGATTATGATAATGTATATATACATCAGTTATGAGGTTGAGTTTGCAAATTTGCAAATCATAAGCAACAAAGTCGAAGAACTTAGTTTTCAGCTCATGAGTCGACCCATGACTGCCATGAGTCGACTCATGATATCAACTCCCATTGTCAAAAGTCTCTGCTGAGCTGACTTATTATCTTATGAGTCGACCCATGAGTCATGAGTCGACTCATGACAGTCATGAGTCGACTCATCGGGGGTTTTCTGGGTTTTGTAGATCGGGTTTGTTTGGGTTTTGGGTCGGATTTTAATTGTTCATATATATTCTCCTCCACCCGAAAACACCTCTTTTCATCAGTTCTCCCCAGAGAAACCCTAGCCTCCTCTCCCCTTCTAAACCCTAGTTCGTTTTTGGGCATTTTGGGAGATCTTCGGGGGATTTCAGCAGCTTCTTTTGGATTGCAGCGAAGGGGATCGTTCTTCATCACATCTGAGGTGAGTAACATCTCGCCCAATCCTTCTCCCATGTTTTTAACAGTTTACAAATATTTTTCATGAGTTTTATTGAGCCTAAGACTTATTTTCAAGTATAAATCAACGTTCTTATTAGGGTGAATGCTAGAAATCATGTGTTTCAGATATTAAATCCTCACCAACGAGTTTTGATGAAAACCCAGATCTGGAAATTTATTTAAAGTATAACAAATATGAGTTTTTACCTTGATTAAATGCTTTCACTCATGTTTAGGAGTTAAAAGTTAGGTCTAACATGCTAATGTTCGTTTCTCATGCTATATATGAATTTATCACTGCCTCATAGTCTAGAATTGATAGTCATGGAGGTGAAGATCAGTATAGAGGGAGTATAGAACGAGATGGACGAGCTGTAGTTGTGAAATATCCAGTTTTTAGCCCGTGAGTCGACTCATGACTCATAATGAGTCGATTCATCAGGTTGAGTCGACCCATGACTATCATGAGTCGACTCACGAAGTCTTTTCCTGTTATCATAAGTTTCTGCTGAGTCGACTCGTAACTGGTCATGAATCGACCTATGAGACATGAGTCGACTCATAACTGAACATGAGTCGACTCATTGAAGTTTTTCCTATTTCGTTTGTGTTTTTGCTTGATCACCTATTGTGCTTATACTTTCATACAGTGTTCATATAAAATCGAGGGTACTATTTATCATTTTTGAATATGAGAAGTTGCCTTGTTTATCGGATATTAAATTGCAGTATTTATGATTTCATTTACACATGTAAGATGACTTTTCTGACACAAGCTTAGAGCTGTACAGCGTGGCACGTACAAGAGTAGAATATGTATACCTTTACTATTAGTATTCCATGGTTCATATACACAGTCCTCGTGTTGGACTATAATCCATTAAAGTCCTCGTGTTGGACTATAATCAATTAAAGTCCTCGTGTTGGACTATAATCCATTAAAATCCTCGTGTTGGACAATAATCCATTACAGTCTTATGTTGGATAATTGCTAAATCCTGAGTATGTTTCTTAACCGAGTTTGGAACACGACATATTATGTGAAGCTGGGACATGATAGCTATCTAGGCTGGACATGACATTTATTGTAGCTTTGACAGGTTTAAATTGTATCGGTAGAGATGGGTTTGTTTTCCTTTTCTTCATTGTTTCTTGTGTTAAGCCTCGGGTTTAGTATTTAGGGATTTACAATTTGAGATACAAGGTATATACATGAGGGTTTCCTTGTTTGGATTATTTCGCTCGACGTACCTATGCTCATGTTGTAATTTTCTAAGTACTAAAACCCACTATTTTTAGTATAAATGATCTTTTATTCTTATGTATTAACTGTATTTTCATATACAACGAGCCCTATCCATTGGGGTTGGTTTTGATATTGTTCGCTAGTGCTTTGACGCTCGTTGTCCCTCCTCCTTTCAGGTAACGAGCCAGGAGCCCGGAGAGTCGCAGGTTGAGGGCGATCCTTATTAGCGCCCATTTTTCCTTTTATTAGATGTATTACATTTTGTACTCCACTTGAGATATTTTTAGACTTGAGAGATTTATATTCTAGAGTTATAAAAGAGGTGTGCCTTATTTCTTGTATCAGTCATTATGTACTTTGAGACATGTTGAGGTCTTCAAATTGTTATTATTTATTTCAGACATTTACTATGTATTCCAGCTTATTTGGTTGATGAGATGTATTATATTTGAGATCTATCATTTCATCAAGTATTTATTGTAAAACCTTTCACTTGCTTTGTACCTACACCTGTTGTTGATTCCACTAGAAAGATTGTGATTGTGATGGTGAAACATGTTATTGCACGGTGTGGTGCATGGCAGGTTTGACATTTCTGGTTTCACCTCGGACTATAGCCTTGTGTGAACCCAGGGGCGTCACAGGAAGAGGGGCTGCTAGGGTTTGAAACTCTGATGTAAGGATGTTAATTTTTGTGTAAACACATGTTTATATATATGCAAACCCAAAATAAACCCGTTTGATCCGAACCAGGAATCCTAATCTGATTAGAAAAATGACCTTCGGTATTTTGGCCATAACTTTCATGTACAACCTCGGAATGAGGTAATCTAAGGCTTGTTGGAAATATCTTGAAGATACCTACAACTTTTGTTTTTTAAGTTTTTCTAAATTCTAACTACATCTATGAGACAAATATAAAATCTCTTCACTAGTCATAAATTTTCAGATTTATACATCGAGCATGAATTGTGCATTTGCTCTTATATATATACATATATACATTGAATTGATCTCAAACCAATTCCTAGCATACTCAAATATCATAATATATTATTTATAAATATATAACATATTTATTATTATTTATCACAAAATATTTAAATTTTTGGGGTTTTACACTATCCCACAAATGCCACATGATTGATCGTTTCCCATGACCATCACACCCCCATCGAGTTTCTCGAATGATGCAAACCAATCTCATCAGGGAGTCACATGATAAGTAGCATCGGAATCCAACATCCAATCTGATGTATCTGTATGGTTCACTTCTGGAGTAATCAATAGTAAAAATCAGGAATCATCTGAATCATCACCTCTAGCGACGTCCACCATATTGGCCTTCGGGCCCTTCTTCTTTCTATTCTCCTTCTCTTTGAGCTTTGGACAATCTCTCTTTCATTGTTCTTGTTCTTTACAGAAAGCACACTGGTTCTTCGCTAATTGGTAGTGGCCTCTAGACTTTGACCTACCTCTATTATCACCTCTTGGATATGGGCTCCTTCCTCTCGTTGACAAGGTTTCTCACAAAGTACTAACTCTGAAAGTCTCTTTGTCCTTCCTTCTCAGATCGTAATTTGTCAACGTATTAGTCACTTCACTATAGGTGATGGAAGATCTACCGTTCAACAAAGTGAGCACGAATGTATCATACTCCTCATCTAGTATGGATCCTAACAAAATAATCAACTTGTACTCATCTGATACCTTTTCATCCATATTTGCTAATTCTGACAACAACTTTGTGTAATTGTTCACATGAGCCGCAAGTGAGATACTCCTGGATATCTAAAATCTGAACAATCTTTGCAGCAAGTGTAAACGGTTCTTAACACTCTTCGTAAGATATTTATTATTGAGAATCTCCCACTTCTTTATCGCAGACGTCGCAGCAATCACATTGTATTTTAACTCTTGTTCTAAACAAGATCTAATTACCCCCACAAGCGTTCTGATTCATCTTGTCCCATATCACCTCATCATACTTCGATGAGCTCTCATGGACCATGATGGTCTCTTCCAATTTTTGAGCATTCAGTGCATCTTGCACATTACTCATCCACAAACCAAAGTTGATTTTACCGTCATACTTCACAACACTAATCTTTGTATTATGAAGTGCAACTTGAACTATACTCGTCATCACCTTGCTGCTTTCACCAACTTCTTCTCCCATTGTAAACTAACTCCAATTGTAAAGAAAGATTCAAAATTTGATAGAATTGAGAAATTACCTAACTGAACCCTAGAGGATTCCAACATGATCTCTTAACCACATGAGAAAAGCGAGATCTTCAACGGTAACTCCGTAACGCTATCTTCACCGAAGCGTAGATCTGCAAGAACCAAGCTTCCAACAACGAATCTTCCTCCACCCAATGTAAAACCCTAGATCTAAAAATCTGAGTTCTGGTACCACTTGTCGTGCGCCGTACGAAAGCGTGCTCGCGAACCAAACGAGTCGGCGTGCGATGAGAGAAGAACCAAACAAAACACGAGTCCAATTCAGAAAATAACGACCAAAATCACACACAAACATAGAGATTTATGTGGTTTGGCAAATTGCCTACGTCCACAAGGAGAGGATGGGGAGATTTTACTATATGGAGGAGAAATAATGGGTTACAATCTCTCAAACAACTCTTAAAATAACCAAACAAATGATCTCACACTCCCTCACAATAATCTCCCTCTCAAAGTGCTCAAAAGAACCCAAATTCTATGTTCAAACTCTCTCAATTAACCCTAGAAACGTGTGTTTCTATTTATAACAAACCCAATCCAAAACAGCGTGGGAATCTAAAAACGAGTCTGCCACACTCGGGTGTGACACACACCACACCCCTGACAACTAGACAGATTCTGCCACACCTGGGTATGACACGCACCACACCTAGTCTGTTGAATTTTTACGTATTTCAACACTTTGAACAATTCGACGCCGTTTTCTACAAACTACTGTTGACTCTGGTCATTTTCGCAGGTTGTAATATGTCAGG